ATGTATGAATGTGTGTAGTAGAGTGATGTATGAATGTGTGTAGTAGAGTGATGTATGAATGTGTGTAGTAGAGTGATGTATGAATGTGTGTAGTAGAGTGATGTATGAATGTGTGTGGAGGTAAGTAAGGACAGTGTGTTGTAAAGACCTTTCAGTATCTTGATAATATAATGTAAGGAGCTGTATAGGTACAGTCCATTTACATGTTGATTAAATTTTCAGGAGATGAAACGTGTCGTCTCGTCTTTCTTTGATGCTGAGTGCACAGCTGGACAGATGTCTTCAGTAAACATCCTCCAAGTAAACAAATAAACAAGTAATTGTTGTTTTTATAAAAGCCCTCTTAATATCTTTATTTCTTTGCGTATGTGTGTGTGCGTGCGTGGGATGTGTGTATATGAAGAGGTGTGTGTGTGTGTGGGATGTGTGTGTGTGAAGAGTAATTGAACCAATGAGAGGCTGGATCAATAAAACAATAAAGCTCAGCGTTTGATGAAGGACCGACTCGTTTGTCTCGCAGCTCGTCCGTCTTCCTCACTCCGTCTGTAACTTCCTGTTTCTCAGAGGCTCTAACCTGTGCTCCTCCATCACCACCTTTAAAACAAACACGTCTGGAATATTCTCATCAAACGGATCCATTTGATCCGGCACATCGAAAGCACTGAGCAACATGGCCGACGTGCGGCTGAACGTCTCTGGAGCGAAGTCGTTCGTCTGAAATCTTTCTGTCATTTAGTCGTTTTGTTAATTCTGTGATCCATCATGTGAAGCGTGGAGACAAACGGAGGCGCAGCCGAGGAAAACAAACGCAGAGACGGACAAAAAGACGAGGGAATTGTCTCCGGAGGCAGCGGAGCCTGAAATTACAGATGTGTTTAAGTGAGTCTCTGCTGCTCAATAACGGACCGGCTCATCTTGTCTCCATCGTGTCTTCATCTCACACATCAGTTCACCGAATCACACGTTGTCGCTCCTCCTCCTCCTCCTCCTCCTCCTCCCATGATGATGATGACTTCAGGTGCTCATGTAGGAGCAGAACGAGTCCAACCGTCTGTTTTTACCTCCACATAAACTTCAGCAGGTCAAATACGAAGAAAATCTAAATTACTGCTTCAATTTTAAATCTGAATTTAACTTTAGGCTCAGATTGTTTAAAACGGAGAAAATGTTTGTTGAAGTTCAGATTTTTCTGTAAGAAACGAGCTCTGCGTGGAGACATTTCAGTTCCTTTGAACAGTGCCAGCAGAAAGAATTATTAAAACACAACGAGTTTTCATCTACAGTAACTTCACAGGAAACCAACAAACTGACCGACGGGCAGCAGAAACAGCTGATCTTACCGTACGGTGAAGTCGTAGGAGCAAGACGCCAACACCGTCCGACTGAACGGCGAGAACTGTGGGGCACAAAACAAACTGTTAACAACAGAAAATAACGTTTTCAGCTTTTAAACTCTGGCTCTAAAGAGTTTTATTAAAATAATAAAATAAAATTATAAACTGTGGCGTTCCACAAGGCTCAATATTAGGACGAACATGAATAATACAGGATTTTACACTATATTTGCTAGAAAAGGTCAAAAACCACCACGTTTACAGATGAAACCGTTTATTCAGCTCAGGAGCTGATACAAAACAATAAAGAGTAAAAAATGAGTTGTTTTAATTAAAATTGGTTTAATGTTAACAAGTTTCGTCTTAATGAAAATAAAACTAAACGAATGATGTTTGAAGGCTTTAAGGAGAATCTGGATAAAACTCTTCAATGAAGCTAAAACTGAAAGAATTGATGAAAGCATGAAACGTTGAGATTATAAATTCACAAATCTGCTGGTAATAAAAGTGTAAAGACGAAGGATCAATGTTTGTTTTTATTGATCTGCTCTCTTTTGATGGCATATCTGCTTTATAGAATAAATATAAAACTAATAAGAGATCGATCAGAATTAGTCATTTATAATGAACAATCTAAAATCTCATGATTTAATCCAGATTGTTGAAATTTACAAACGCTTTGTTTTTAAAAACAGATTTCAGACTGTGCAGGAAAAAAGTGAGTCTGTGGTTCTCTTTTGTTCTTGGTGTGAAATCTCAGTAACTGAACACACACACGTGCATGCGTACGTGCATGTGCACCTTGACTCTGCGGATGGCGTAGGCGTGTCCCAGCAGTTGATTGACAGGTTTTTGGACGTTCCTCAGGTCCCACACACACACGCTGCAGTCCACCGAACCCGTGGCCACGATGTTCTGCAGGCGGAACACAAAACCACTTCCTGTCAAACCAAATATGGACTTCCTGTCACGGCTGTGCTAGCACTTTAATTCAGGTTTTTATTCGACTGCAGTTAAAAACGTTTCCGTTAAAGTTGGACGTGGTTGGAGTGTCGCCGTGTTGCTACCTGGTCATATTTGCACCAATCACAGCTCAGGATCTCAGCCTTGTGTGCCGGGACGGCCAGCCGGCACGCTGCGGCCTTCACGTCCCAGATCCTGAGGGTCCCGTCACCTGAGGGCCGACAGCACCGTCAGGTCAAACACACAGGAAACAACTTTTTATTCTAGTTTAACGAGTCTCCTGAACAAAAAACAAAGAAATGTAAAAAACGTGCCGAGCTCTGAAATGGGTAAAAGAAGCTAAAACTGAACTGTTAAAGTGAAGAAGCTAAATGATGGCAAAATAGTAGCTAATAGCTAAAATTAGCAGAACAGCAAATATACTAGTAAGCTAAAATGAGCCAAACAATAGTTGACAGCTAAAACTAACTAAACAGCAGCTAAAAGCTGAAAATGAAGCGAGTACGTTGAACAACGATCTGCAGGACTCCAAGAGTTTTTCTTTCAGTCACAATAAAAAACTAAACTAAGCTAAATGTTTCTAAAAGTTTAAAAGCAACAAAAACCAAAGTCACAGCTGTAATGTCCAAAACAAGCCGAAGACGTTGAGCGGACGGTTAGAACAGCACCGAGGGAGCTAAAGACCCGAGGATGGAAGGTGGAGGAGAGGAGGAGGTTAATTGAGGTTAAAATGTTCCTCAGAGTTCTTCAGAGATCAGCTTTGATTTCCTCTCGTCCCCGTGGACCCCGTCCAACCTGCTCGAGTCCATTTAAAGGTCCAGACGGGTCTCCAGGTTCTGGTTTAAAGTTCTGCGACACGAAGTGAGAAAGCTGCAGCTCATCGAGGCTCTTCGGAACAAAATAACATCAAACTGGAGTTTTACGGTTTGCCTTCTGTAAAAACTCTTCTTTATTTTACAGTCCGCTGCAGTGACGGTTCGTCACATTAGTTAGTTTAGCTCCGTTCAATTGGACCGATTTTGTTTATTTAGGATCACGCACGACACGTGCACATTTAGTTAACAGACAATTTCCATCTTGAGCAGGTAGAAACATGAAAACCAAACCACCAGATGGATTCTAAAGAAACACGTTAAACAATAAATACAATTCAAGAATATAATTAGAAGGTTCAATCGTTTCATCTGGACCCGTTTCTTTAAGTGAGAAAAGTTTTGTCCCCCATCCAGAGGACTTCTTCAGTCAGCAGCCTGCCAACCAGCTCAGTCCCATGGGTCGCCTTCACTGCTGTTTGAAGACGACCTCGTGCTGTAATCTCAGAAGCTTTTAACACGTTTAATCTCAGAAGTGGACTCTTAACACGTGCAAACAGAGCGCACCCATCTGAAACCATCCATCATATATGGGCCAGGTGACCAACGTGCTACTCACAGAAACAGCCTGTGGTCAACCAGGCCAAAATGGTTCAGAGAAAAGTTTTATAAACTCAATAATCCAGGCAGATAACAACAAAAATAGTTCAATGAAATGGATTAAAATGTTGTTGAGGCTGACACATTGTCCAGTTTAAGACTGGGATTAAGACTTTCCTGTTTGATAAATCCTATAGTTAGGGTCGGCTTGTTATGCTGCTATAGACTTAGACTACTAGAGGACAAACTGACCTCATTTCATTAAATTAATTGTTAAAATTGAATAGTTTCATTTGATACTATTTCTATCTTAACATGTGCTTCTTGACCTGCCATTGTGTATCTATTCCTACCAAACCCAGCCGGTCGAAGCAGATGGTCCTCTTGTCCTGATCCTGGTTCTGCTAAAGGTTTCTTCCTCATGACGGAGTTTTTCTTTCCACTGTCGCCTTCATGCTTGTTCAAGATGAGAGTTCAGTGATGGAGTTAAACTCAAAGCTGCTCCTCAGATAAATAATGTTCAATTATTATTTTATACATGAATGTTTCTGTTCAGTTATTATTTTATAGATGAATGTTTCTGTTAAATTATTATTTTATAGATGAATGTTTCTGTTCAATTATTATTTTATACATGAATGTTTCTGTTCAATTATTATTTTATAGATGAATGTTTCTGTTCAATTATTATTTTATAGATGAATGTTTCTGTTCAATTATTATTTTATATTTGAATGTTTCTGTTAAATTATTATTTTATACATGAATGTTTCTGTTCAATTATTATTTTATAGATGAATGTTTCTGTTCAATTATTATTTTATATTTGAATGTTTCTGTTCAATTATTATTTTATATTTGAATGTTTC